TTGGTTTTACGCATTTRATTTTTATCGTTTGCTAGTTCCTTCACGTCTTGGCGTCGTTTTCTTTTTACACACCCCTAGTGGATTCAAATCTTAGTTATTGAGTTTGTAGCCCTTTAGCTTTGGTTCAATAGTATCATATAATTCTAAGTGGTTGTGGCCGCTGCCTTGGGGGAGCCTATTTGTTAGTTTTGTTGAATTCAGTAGATTTGAAGAGTTTTAGCCTGGCTTTGGGGAGTCTTTTACTTGCTGCTTGTCTTAAATCTGGAATTTCTGCTCATTGTTGAATTGTAGTCTTTTGGAAGCTGATGCTGTTGTTCAGAGAAGAGGCTGAAGTCGCAAAACCAGCCGTTGTAAGCTTGAACAATTCACATATGGGAGGAGTTGATTTTTTAAGTTAAAACGATCAACTTCGCAAATATTACAACGTTGGGAGGGCAGCTTATAAATGGTATAAATACTTGTTTTTGTTCCTGATCGATGTAAGTATCTGTAATGCTTACATTCTGTTCAATCATCATAGGAAAGCTAACGGAAAGAAGGTTTTTAAGCAGGTTCAATATAGGACACACGTTGCAAAGCAGTTGATCTCCGGGTTATCTGTTGGGGGTTCAGGAAAGCGCAAGAAAATAGAGTCAGTTTTGTTTGATTCCATTAATACCGCTAACCATTATATTGTTAAGATTCAGGGGAGGAAAAAGGGGTGTGTTCAGTGCAAGAAAACAGGACAAAAGACAGCCAAAGGACGAGCCATTGAGACGACCTTCAAGTGCTTCCASTGCAGTGTGGCGTTATGCAAGTTGGACTGCTTCCGCGACTACCATCAAGGATAAGCTGCTTTCGTTTTTCGAACTTTTCCTTCTTTCTTGAAATAAATAACTAGTGAAACATTATTTGGTAGAATTTCTCTTTTCTTTTCGACTCTTTTGGCTTATATTTAGCCCTTGTTTGGCTTGTATTTGGCTTGTATTTTGGCTGCATTTTGAATGGTTTTGCGCACGATTATAAATTTTATCTTTTTCGATCTATACTGTTCAGTTTTGGCCATTTTTTACACAACAAGTGACATTATTTTTACTTAGGTTGACCTTTTGTTGATTTAGTTTGGSAATAAACATTACTTTGACGTGATATATTGTGTGTGTATTTACTYCGCATCTGGTTTATTTTTGCGCGTCTTTGCTCGCAARTTTTCTAAAAATGCCCAGGGACATACGTTGTCCCGTGCGCAAAGCGCCKAGTAGTCAAAGGGTTAAGGCTGACAATATTGTGCTGATAAATAGAGGTGAACAAGTGTTACCTAAGATCATTGATTTCAACAAGTCATTACACATAAATGAATGTAAATGTAGACATATTTCAATAGAAGAGCAAAATAAGTWTAAGATTCTGCATAAGCATATAGCACCTGAAATTTACACAGATTTGTCACCACATTCGAAATCTAGTGATGTTTACATTTGGATATATGGTAGAGAAAATTTCCACAAAATTATCGTTCGGAGTTTTYTTAGAAATCTCTGAAATGTGTGTTTTAAGTAATCCAAGGTACAGAATCTCTTTTTCGAAACTATGTGAAAAGTTTGATACTTTAAAACAGCAATAATTATGCTGCATTCTTGAAAAATGTAGTACTATAGGTATAATTTAGCATTACACTTGTAAGTAATTATAACAAGAGAGCCAGCAACGAATSATGATTAAACAATTTGACATCTCACTTGTGCATTGCTGACACTTAAGTAATATCAGATTCTATAAGTTAATTATGTAACAATCTGTATTTTATTCGTGAAATCCAGGCTACAATCATGCAGTGTGRATTCGGGTCCTAGTCTTGACTCAGGTTCGAGGGATACTTGCTAGATTCTTTTTGTGGTCACCGGCTCTTCTTAGGCTTTTACTCGCCTCCTTTACTTTCTTAACAGACGCGGGCCGACCAGTTACTATGCTCTTAAATACACATTTCACACCCTGTTACAATTATACTATATGTTAATTATATAATATGCCAACATTATAAAAAAAACCCTGCAATGTTGAATATCGAAGTGACATTTTGAATCTTTTTTTACATTTAAGCTAGAGCTGTTTTTTTTTTTGTTAAACAAATTGGCTGAAATTAATTCTTATAACTATAATCATGATGTTATTTCCTGTATTCTAATACCTAGAGCCCATCTAATGACAGTCGTGGTCTAAAGAGAGGAAGAGCTTCTGACATAAATGTACCACCAAATTGGGCAGATGACTATAAAATTCCATCAAAGGTTAGCAATTGTATTAATTTTCTAATAGAGTGCAATTAACATTAAATGTGTGCAACACTTTCCACTAATAAGTAAAAAATAGCATTAATTAAGAACAATAGAATTAGCATACTTTAGCAGTATTTAGTGGTATTTAT